GAGGAGCGGAGGAGATAGAGGAAGTCGTGGGAAAAGCAAGCCTGGCAGCAGATGCAGTGGAAATGTTCACCAGAAGGATCCTCCTTTACTTGTCTTCAACAAATAAACCCTTTTTCAGTCAAAAAAGACTGCAGCTGGTTATAAAAGTATGGCATATGCTTTCAGCTGTACCCAGTGTGTGGTATCTTGGGCTCGGCAGGAATATTTTAACCCATGATCCTGGCCTTTAGTTTTGGTTTTACCTTTGCAGTTTTATCTCTATGTAAATCTGTTTGAAGTTTGCACATCCCAGAGATGGATTTGTGGCTGTTCTGATGTGTCCTTGAAGCTTCCTTGGAGTGAGCTCAGAAGATGCGTTGGACCAGGAGAAGAATAAAAGTGCAGAAAGCCTCACAGATCTCTTTGCCACCTCCTTTTGGTTTTGTACAGCTTGTTTTTTGTGTACAATGACTGTCTGGCTTGCCAAGGGCTAATAGATTGTCCATCTTCTCTGTAAGATGGTTTTTAACCTGATTTCTCTTGTAGTCTTTTTTCTTGACCTGTGTGATTGAATATAATCTGCTGAAAGAACCCAGTCTTGGAGTTCAGCACTTTTCCAGTGCTGGGCTGGGGCTGTGTCCTGCACAATATCTAACCTACTTCAGGGGTAGGTTGGAGGAAATGGGGTATTTCAGTAACGAAAGAGGGAATAAGCAGAGCACATCAGTACACCATTTGAAAGCAAGCACTTAAATTACAGTTCAGACACCTCAGGAACAGCATTTGGAGGGATGAAGGTTTGGTTTTCTGAGCCTGTCAGACTTTGTACCTTTCTTGTACATTAACTGAGGAGGCAGCAGGAGGGCTGTGGTTTGGGAGGGAAGTGGGAATGCTCTTAATCCCTTTTAGTTGTGAAGTTAAAATAAGAAACTAAAGAGGTGACAAGTGACTTCCTGATCTGTGAAAGAGTCCCTCTGGATTCAAAACATAATGAAGGTAATCCCACTGTGTTACTTCTGTTCATAACTAATAAAGTTCAAGTTCTTCAATGTCCAAACCTACCATCAAGTGCTGAAGGATGGCTACAGTGTGAAGGCCCTTAAATGTGAATTTGTCACTGGACCCAGGAAGCTTTTGACAGTATTAAGCTGAGAACAAGAAACCTGTATCTAATGCTGTGAGTTCAGAGCATCTCAGATTGTTGCTGCTGCTTGGAAGAGTCCTGCAGTTCAGGATTCTTGCTAAGACTGGTTGTAAACCTCTGAGCAACCTTTGCTGGGTCACTTTGGCCTGTTCTCTTTGCTTTTGAAGGCTGTGATCCTTGGGGAAAGAGCAGCAGTCACTGCGGGGGCTTATTCCAAATGGCTCCATGCTGGATTAGATGGGATGTGTTTCGTCCCAATGTCCAAGAACAAAGAGAAGCCTGTTCTGTGGCTCAGCTGCCACCCTCTGATGAGTTGCTTTCACTCAGGTTGAAAAATAACCCTTAAGCTACTACAGGTAAAGAGCTCTTGTGTTTAATAAGTAACTTTTAGCTAGTACACAGTAGGCTGAAGGGCACAGAGGGGGCTTGAGTTACTTGTTTGGTGCATGCTGTGTCTGGATGAGGGGATATTTAAGTTCAGGTGGAGTTTGCTCCAATGTCCTTGCTCTGGACACTGAAAACTGTTGTGGAGTACTGCAGGGAGTGTGCATGCAGAGAAAGAAAAGCTAGAGGCAGTATTGTACTGACATCCTCCATTCTCCAGCCTTACTAAACTCAAACTAAAGGGCATTTCAGTCTGATGCATCATTGCTGTTTACTTTTTACAGTTTAAAAGTGGAAGTGCAGCCTGTTTCCATCACAGTGTGAGACTCCTTGGAGTTATCCAAGAGCCTCATTTCTTCAGACCCATGGGTTAGATGTTTATTTCCACCAAGAGAGCATCATGTAATCAGTGCTTCTGACACAAGCTGCCACAGGCTATTTGAAGCCTGCTCTGTTTCATTTAAATCATGGGGGGAATCTCTATTTATATACCTTAGTAGGATGCCCTCATAACCCAGTGAACTCACCATGAGGTTACCTGAAGCATGCCTTTCAAAAGCAATAGCTAGTCAGCCATCAACCTGCATACTTGTAACAGTTGATCTGCATTTTCCAAATGCCTTGGTGTAGTTTTTAGGTAAATACACAACCTTTGTTACTTACTCTTCACGTGGCAATCCTGAACCACAGAAACTACAGCAAAGTCAACGTAGATTTGGCTTTTGTGCCTGCCTGACATGAGTTCTTGCAGGATGAATCACTCTCTGGATATAAGCATCTCCTCCTGTGGACTATAAAAAGAATCCTGGATGAGTAGCTCGAATTTGGGCTTTTAATGATTTAATTCAGCGATGACACATCCTATGTCAGGTGACCCATTCGATGTGGTTTAACCCATCTGAGCATGGATTAATCCTGTATCTGGCATCCTGCACTGAGGCATCAAACCTGCTGCGTCAGAGGTAAATCTTTTCAGAAGCAATTTGTTTCCTTATGTCTAGAAGCATCCAATTTGCTAAGCCTTCCATCCACATCCTCTAACATTACTTTTGCTCACTCTCCTCCAGGCTGCGAAACCTGGAGCAAAGTAACTCACCTCTCAGCTCCAAGGGCCCTGAGGCCAAAATGTGCTGGTCTTTCAGAGCTCCAGGGTCAGGTGGTTTTACAAGAGTTAACAAGGACCTGCAAAGATGCTGGCATAGTCTGAAACTGGGTGAGTGCTTTTAATGCCTTCTGGTGTCATTCTGAATGCATTTTTGGCAACAAGGGAGGATTTACCAGTTTGTGCTTGGGGAAGCACTGGCTACTTGGTATTTACAAGACATACATGTCAAAATATGCTTGTAGATGTAGACAAATAGGACTGCTCAAACTGTTTGCCACTGAGGACTTTAAAACTGCTTAACCAAGTTGCTTGTGAACCTGTGGTGAGAACTGTTCCTGCATTCTCAGTTATGCAGTGAAATTCGGGGCATGGGCTGCCAGTCAGAAGCCCTTGAGTCACTGCAGCTTTAGGGATCTCCCTTTGCACTACTTCACTCCTCTAAGGAAGTAAGTTCAGTTTCACAGCTTCCTGACAAGCAGTAAGTTATTAAGCTGTTGCATTGAGGTTTGCTTTTAATGGTGTGCCTGTACTGCAAGTGCACTTCCAACTGGGGTTGTAAGTAGGTGTGACCAAGAGCCCCCAGTCACAGGGATGAGTCCTTTGTCATTAGAAAGCCAAGTCTGTGTTTGGCTGATAGGGAACCACTGTTCTGGTTGATTCTTCAGAAGTGCTTTCTTCTCTCAGTAGTGGATGGGCTGCAAGGTAAGGCAGGGCTCCCAACATCTCCCTGCCATGCAGTGGGAGGAATTGAGGGCTCTCCTTCATCCCATGGACACCCCTTCCTTACCCCACCAGCAACAAATGTCTGAGCTTCTGAGAACTGGTAGAAGAGCCTGGTATGTCAGAGCTTACCAGTTGTTCATGGAGCAAGGGACATCTTGGTTGGATGTTAGGAAAACTCACCCAAAGTAAGGACACCTTAATGCTAGGATAGATTGTCTTGAGAGGAGGGGAGTCCCTGTACAGAGTGATCCTGCTTTTGGGGTGCAGAATGGACTTAGGCAGTGTTTCAGCCTGCCACCTCATCCCAAAGAGGTTGAGCATCATCTAGGAGAGCACACACTGCTTCTCACCTCTCACAGATGAGAATGTGTGGGTGATTCCACAGCCAGTTTTCCTGCTTGAGGGTAGTAAGCACGTTACCAGCATGTGCAGTCTTACCAAACCCCACTAGAGGGGTAGCTGGAAGGACATCAGGCAGTTTGTTGTCTAAAAGACAGCAGAAGCTGGACCATAAACCAGCAAACCTCCTCACTATGTACCCACCTCCTTGTCCTCTGCACCACCGCAGTGAGGGAAATAAGAGGAATAAGTGAAAAGTCACAGCTGCACAGTTTCTCTTTGCTTGTTTTAAACAGCTGAGGGGACACCAACACTGAAGCTGAACTTCCTTCTCTGTGGGAAGGCAGGTGGGCACGGGTCAGCTCTACTTGTTTGCAATAAACCACGCAGAAATGGGCAATTCTGATGCCCCCCCCCCAGCTAAATCATTGCCTAAGCTCGTTAGACAATCATCTGCAGTTAGACAGACAGGACCTTAACTGACTTGGAATCTTGGGTGTGCCTGAGTGTGCAGCCGGGTTTCAGGACACACAGTGCCACAAACCAGGCAAGCCAGCCTGTCCACCCTGCTGCACTTAACAGCCTAGCTGATTCAGAGCTCACAACAAGAGATTCTCTGCTTTCCTGACCCACAGAAGAGCTCAAGAAAGAGACCCAGCTAATAGTGTAGTAATACAGTCACATCCTTTGCTTCACCTCATGCCCTTATCCCCAGGATGGAGCTGGTCACTGGTGTGTTGGTCTGGCCAGCTTGATCTCTGGAGGGCACAGCTATTTGAGCTCCCTGCCCAAGCCATGTTTGGAAGCAGGACTCTCACCCCAGAGAGATTTGACATCAAAGAGGTAAATTCCCAGCCAAACTATGCAGTGATCCTTGCTCAGCTCTCTGAAAAGCTTCACCACCTCTGCTCTGCCTCCAAGCAGCATGTGGCCAATCGAGGGCAGCTCCCTGCACTTTTACACCTCCCCATTCTCCAAGGCCAGTAATTATTCTCCTTGCATTGCAGATGAAGGGGCTGGATCATGCCATGAGAGCTTCCCTCGGGCTTCCAGCTCAGGAAGAGCAATCCCAGTGCAGATCCTCAGCGGGGCAGTACCCAGCGTTCACCTTTTGCTGCCGTTTCAGCTGGAAACCACAGAGCTTCTGGGTGACGTTTCCCTCTCCCACTGAATCAGCCTTTTCTTTACCCTTTGGAATGCAAGGTAACAGGACACCCTGTGAGGTTTTATCTCTCTCCCAATCTCTTGTGCTGCTGCGGGGAGTTGTCGGACCGGATTGAGCCTTTTAGCTGCAGACATCGGGTGGTTTCGGGGTTGTCCGGCAGGAATCTGGGTGGGAGGGCACAGTCGCTGAAACCTCGATGTAGGAGTCACACCGAGAAGCGAATCCTTGGGACACACAGCAGGGAGGAAAAGCCCTTGGCACCACTGAGTCTGAATCCGGCCCTTCGCTGCCGTAGGGATGGTGGGTGCTCCTTGGCTGAGCTAGGATTACTGGGAACTGCCTCCACCAGGAGACTTTTCCCTGCATCCCTTATGAAAGCAGCTATATTTTCCCTTCTTCCACGTGGATGGCATTCCCAAGGCTGGGAGCTGATGTGGAAGTACCCTGCTTGCTTGGACAGCGGTCACTGCTCCTGCAGCTGATCCCTGTCTCCTCTAGGACTCTCCTGGGGGTCGAGGAAGTTTAGCTCTTGTGACCTGCATACAAAGACCGACTTGGTTCTCAGGTTTCAGCTCTCTCCTTCCTCCTAAAGGCGTGTTGAACCTCCACTTGCTGCCCTTGTAATGCCATTGTGGCCACTCTGATACGAGGAGAAAACGTTAGGAGGAGGTGACAACTTCCATTGAATCAACTGATACCAGTCGGGAGAAAGAGAGGCTTCATTGCTGACTGCTGCCACTGCACGTGGGTAAGTGCTTGCTCTTTATGCTTCAGCTGCATCTTTCTTCACCTCAGCATCCTTCAGTCAGGCCACAGAGACACATGGAAGTGTCTTACCACAAAAGGATGTGGCATGCTGCTTATTGGGAGCTCTTGCTTTGATGGTTTGGGATGTATGGTGCCCTGAAGTAAATCACTGTGCTTTGGCAGCAGAGAAGCATGAATCCTGTCATTTAGGGCTCTAAACCAGCTGCCTCCCAGCTATATAGTAGTTTATATTTAGCATGTGTATTGCTTTCTTTATTCCCCCACGGGGATTGCATCCCCTTGTTCAAAGAGCCAGTTGGGCTAATGAATTAGTGTGTAAAATCATTCCAGTGGCTGGAATGGCAGGAAAACCTGGGCATCCACAGCTCTGCGTGAGGCCAGGAGCTGTGGATCTTTGCAAGAGCCTCCTTAGGCCTCAGAGGGTGAGTCTGCACCTTGCCTTCATTAGCCACATCCCAGAGCAAACGTGTTTGCCTGGCAGAGATGAGTTTGTTACGCTGAACAGGAGAAATGTGCAGAAACAAAGCACTCGGAGAGGCTGCTTTGTTCCTCAGATACGCTGCTTCACAGGGGTGATGGAGTCAGCTTGGAGCACTTACAGTCACCCAGGCAGGGAGTGGCTGTAAAAGCAGAGCTGGACAGGGTTGGGCATCAGCAGGAGGGCCGAGAGCAGCTCCTGACATCAGCCAGCAGGGTTAGTTTCAGCAGGCTGACTAACAAACACCTTTGGAAGGGGAATACCTGCAATCCGGAGGTACTTGTGCTGTGTGAGCAGGGGGGGTTCTGGTAGCTGCAGAGGGAGCAGGGGAGGTGGTGGTAAAAGAGCGAACATAGACCTTAGGTTGTGGTTTTCCACCTAGAGAGAAAACAGCAGGAGCAGAGGCCTGATGCTGCCTCTTGTTTCCCCAAACACCCACAAACCTGGGCTCTGCAGGAGCAAAGGGAAACAGAGGTAACCCAGCATCTCCCTGTGGGGTGGGAAAGGTGGGCAACTCCTGTTGCACCAGAACAGGGCTCCGGGGAATGGAAGTGTTCAGGTCCAAGGCTGGATCAATGGGTGCAAAGAGGGATCAGCAGTGGGATGGGCAGGATTCAGATTGACAGGCATATTGGCATGCAGACACAGACTGTCACATGTAAGCCAGACATGGGAAGAGCCTTTCCAACACAGATAACAGCGGTCCAGGTGTTTTAATCTTGATTCAGTCCTGAGTAAGAAACCTGAATACTGGAGCAGGAGGAGGAAGTCTTTCCAAGAAGGGGAAAATGATGGAGGGAGGCTGTCAGGAAGGCAGATTTCCTTGTTAACGGCTGTCTTTGAAACCTGCATTAGACCATTCCCATTCTCCTTCCCATTCCATTCTCTTTTTTCTTCTCTGGATGGCACCGTTTAATATTAGACCCAGGGGTTATTGCTGATATTTTTACTACATGCCCTGTTGGCAAGGGCCTGTAGGGACAGCTTTAACCTGCCAGAGGGGAGACTGAGATGAGCTCTTAGGCAGAAGCTCTGCCCTGTGAGAGTGCTGTAGCCAAACGGAGAGCAGGTTTTACGCTGGGATAAAGGGAGTTATGTGCTCTCTTTGCAGTAGGGTTTTCATCGCATCGTGGTTGTTTTCACCCGAGAAGGGATCAGACCTCGGGTACCCTTAACCTGTAGCATCAGCGGTGGCACCACGCAGCTTTCTGTGTGCAAAGCACATGGCCAAAGGGTTCCTGCGCTTGCTTTAGGGCACGGCTTCCCCATGCTCCCCTCCTGCGGAGCGGGAGAGGCGGGCGCTGCACCGGCACACAGGAGGGGACACGGGATGCTTCCGGCTTCCCGCACCTGCCCGGGGCACAGAGAGGAGGAGCCGGGCACAGCGCCGAGGCCATGGCGGCCTGAGCCCGCACAGCACCGCCTCGCCATGGAGCGGGGCCCCGTGGCCTCCGGCATGAGGTACAGCACCCAGGCGCAGGTGAGCACGGGGGGGCGCGATCCTATGGGCGGCTCAGCATCCCTCGGGATGCAGGCGGCATTCCCAGCTGCCCCTCCGCCATCCGGTGGGGTCCGGAGAACCCGTCTGGGCTCTGTTCCTGCTTCGGGAGCACAGGGGAAGGGGAAATCAGTGCCTCGATGTGCGCTGCCCCCGGGTCCGATCTCGGCTGATCGGGGGCACTGGGATGTGAGTAAAGACAAACTGCATGGAGGGGCTGTTGGTTGGTGAGTGACAGAGCCAACTAAACTTGTTCGAGTGTCAGGGCTTTGGGGTTTCACCATTAACTGATGTGTTATCAGCGTGCTTTGAGACTTGAGTGAGCTTAAGCTGTGGTCCTGCTGGTTGAGGGCCCCGCAGGGGTTTTGGGTTGCACCCCGAAGCCTGTTCTGTGTCACAGAGCTGCTTTCAAGCTGGGTTTTGAGGTTAAAGCGGCACATCAGGGCTCTGCAGCTCACCTGGTGTCGGTGTGTGAGCCTTAGTGCTTACTGTCAATGGCAAAGGAGGTGCCCATCAGCAAGAGAAAGCTTCCCTTGCCTCCAGCCCTGCCGTCTGCGTGTGCCAGGGTCACCGTGGCTGCAAGGGAGCAGGAAGGGGATGCTCTCACTGATGCCGTTCAGCTCCAGCATCTTGTTCCCTGTCCAGGGCAGGGTGACACCGCTGTGGCAGTGTGTTCTTCCTCTCCAGGCTGGTTCTCTTGGCATAAACTGGGTGGTTTATGGCAGGGCTGAGTGCTCGGGCAGGTCCCTTCGTGCACATCCATTTTGCCCCTGCAGCAGTTCAAGAGGAACTGCTCTGATCCAGGACTTCCCTGCCCTTCCTGGTAGTAAAAAGCCTGAGGAATTTGTTCCTCCTGGACCAACTGTTGCTGGACTTGGCTCCCTATAAAGATGGAGTGAACGTGAGTTGTTTTACAATGACTATGCCCCTCCTCGGTCACAGGGAGGAGAAGCCTCTCCTCTTCCTAGGAAAGGTGCAGAGCTTCTCTCTCAGGTGAGCTACTGCTCAGGCCAGTTTGGCTGCTGTTGGTGCCAAGGGATAAGGAAGGCAGGATGAGGAAAAGGCTGAGGCTGATCCAGAGTGCACCAGACCTTTGCTCAGCAAACAAAGGATCACTTGGTAAAGCCACCGAAGGGAGCAGCGAGAGTGTTCCCCAGGGCATGGCTGTGGGGAAGGTGTCAGAGCAAAGGTTCTTGCCTTGCCCAGGGCACAAGGTGCCATTTCCATCCATCTTAAAGGCCCTTTCCAACCTAGTTCAGTCTGTATTTCCATGCTGGGACTAATTCATAGGGATGGGTTTGCCAGAGAAAGGCAAGGGATGTTTTTGTTATTCAAGCAGGACTTTCTGTACCAGGAAAGATGCAGGATGCTGTTTGTTTCCCTTGTGCTCTTGGCACATCGTGTGTGTTATAGGGAGGAATTTCATGGCTTACAGCTACACGAATGAGGCCTTTAGGGCAGTGTTATTGCCCTCTCCCCCCCCCTCAGATTGCTGAGGCTCGAGTGTAGAAGTCTTTCCATTCAACAGAGGCAGAACTGGAAGCGTGGGCACCCTGCGTTGAGCCCAGCCCGTGTGCCCTATGCAAACATGAACTTCAGTTTCTTCTGCCATAAACCTGAAGGAATCTGGTTTCTCGTGTGACTCAGGACGGTCACAAGGCAAGCAAATGCTCCAGAGGAGTGAGCTGGGAGCTGGTGTGTGAAACAGGGGGGGTGTGACTTGGATCTTTCACTCTTGCACTTGCCCTCTGTGCCTGGAAGGTAACAGCCTGGAGGACTTCATGTCCTTTATTTCCTGCTCCCTAGTCCCTCCTTAGCTCTGATGCCATCATTTGCTGGTGACATTGCCCTTAAGATGGAATTGAAGACACTGGCCAAGGTTCTTTGAGTGTTTTTACTGCTTGTGTTGGGGCAACACAGAATGAACACACCTTAAGGAAACTGAGCTCTTACACATGCTGTTCCCATAGATTTCTTATCAATGATAAGAAGAGAGAAGATTATTATCAGGTCTCTTCCTGCAGTACAATTGATCAAGAGCTGTGTACCTGTACTTGGGTGAAGCGAGCTGATGCCCTGCACGCCATGTGTCCATCTCCTGTTCCTTACAGGAAACAGGCTACTTCCCCTTATCCCAGCACCCCAAAGCTGCTGTTGGCTTTCAGTATGATCAGGTGTTGAAAATACAGCTTTTCAGGCTCTCTCTGCACTGCCCAAGCTCACCCTGTTGGTGTCAGAGGCGTGCTGGGCTGGGTGATAAGCTGATGGGTTTCGTTCCTCACATTCCTCCTGTGCTGTTTGCTTTAGTTTGTATTGAAAGCCACCCGAGGTGTGGCTGGAGGAGGAGAGGTGGGAATTGCCTCTTGGACACGCAGGCTGGGATCTGCAGGGTGTAATTACCCAGCAAGAGTCTATAACCACTTAGTCCAATGGCTCTGCTTCAGCTGAGACCTCCCCAGGCCACCCCAGCTTTGCATGTGATGGGCTCCTGTTGTTGTACATTAGTGCCAGATAGCAGGTCTTTAGCACTGAGGTTGTCTTCTCTTCCCCTTTGTGATCTGTACAGTTCTGGCCCTGAGTCCTGTGTCAGACCAGGAATGAGTCTGGAATGTGGTAAAGGTCGAGGGAAGCAGTTGGCTCTCATAGCTGCCTGGTGCTGGACAAACAGCAGTGATAAGGGATGGGTAACGCTGATGGCCAGGAGCCCAGTCCTTCTGTGGGTCAGGGTCCAGTGACCCAGATGCTGTTTGGGAGGAGATAGGAGCAGTGAGGGCTTTTGGTCCCTGAGACCCATCCCGCTGGCTTGGTGGAACCCCCAGACAAGGCAGAAATCAGCCTTTTTGGGGAGATGCTGATCCCAGATGCTTTGCCTGCATCCCAGAAACCTCTCTCCCGCAGAGCCACGCTCTGTGGCACATCCTAGCCTCCCTGTGGACCCCCGTTTGCAGGAGGATCTGGGGAGCCCCTCCAACCCAGAGCTGGCTGTGGCAGGTCCCACCGTGTGCTGCTGAACTTCCTGCTGTCAGAATTAGTCACTGCAGCTGGTTTGTCCAGTCTGCTGCCTAAAAGTACATGGTGTGATGGGTCCTGGAGGAGGAGGAGTGGGGAGGTTTGCTTGAGGACAGGGCTTCTCTCTGAGCTTTCTGCACGCAGAGACCTCCAGATCAATCCCTGCACGCTCCTTTTCCACATCTCCCTATGGGGTTGGTGCTCCAGGGGAAACTGAGGCACGGAGGAAGCAGGGTAATGTCTTTCTGGCCCTTTCACTTGATTGGCATGTGGCTGCCCTGCTGCAGCAGCCACGCCAACCAGGCTGACGCCGTGACCAGGGCGTCCGACGGCCCCATGGTGACGATGAAGGCTGAGTGAGGAGCAGCAGGAGGAAGTCGCTGGAGCTGTGACTCAGGCAGGGGGAGCATCAGGGAAGGTTTTGTGTGTCTGGTGTTGGAGGAGTTTCTTTGAGGAGGGTGAGACAGAGCCTGAGTCACGTTTCTCAGGGAACCACAGACTGGTTTGGGTTGGAAGGGACCTTAAAGCTCATCTGGTGGCACCTTCCACTGGAGCAGCTTGCTCCAAGCCCCTGTGTCCAACCTGGCCTTGAACGCTGCCAGGGATGGGGCAGCCACAGCTGCTCTGGGCACCCTCAGTGGGAAGAGCTGCCTTAGATCCACCCTGAACTTGCCCTGTTTCAGTTTAACCCCATTACTCTGTGGATGAGGTGGGAGCAGGATGTGCCTTCACATCCTCTCTGGTTGTGATGGGCTGTTAAGCACCTGCAAAGGAAGCATGGACCGTGCTGTCTGGGCACAGACAAATCTGATACCAAGGTCCAGTGGGAGCTTTTTGTTGCTGAGCGTGGGCTGGGGAGATTCAGCCTCTTACTCAGATGCTGGGACATGGGGCTTCATGCGAAACCATCCCAGCAGGACCTGACTCAGCATTCCTGTAGTGCCTGGGGGATGCTTCAGATCCTTTGCTTCGGAGTGAGAGGAGAGTCTGCAGGAATCCCTGGTGCTTACCCAGCCTGGAGCGCTTCACCGAGGGTCAGGGCTGGATGGTGGGGATAAGGAGAGAGGATGGGAAAGGAGGAGATCCGGAGTGTGAAACAGGGAGGCAGGGAGGGAAACCTCTTTGAATCCAGTTCCTCTCTGTCCATCGCTGTTGTTATTACAGGAGTGACGGCAAAAATCACCTCACCCCATGCTCGTGGTGTCACTGCCGCCTCAGCTGTGGGGCAGGCACTCACTGACAAAGCTGTGCTGTCATCTCCCAGAGGTTTAAGCATCCTTTGTTCCCAAGAAGAGCAGAGAAACTGTCTAAAGAAGGGTCAGATGGTGAGCATTCCTGCCCAGGTTCCATGCAGGAGCAGTGTTTGTGTGGTGGAGGGGTTTTCCTTCTGATTTAATCACACTGTTTAGTTCCTCCCGTCGAGTTTTCTCTCTGCAAAGGCACAGCCTTTAGCTCAAAGAGGATGTTCCAATGCATCGGCCACAGCCAGCATCTCCTGCTTGCAGCTGAGCCCTGCCTTTTGCCCGGTGAAGCTGAACGTTGGGAATTCTGCAGGTGTTGGAAGGGAAGGAAATCCTTTCTGCTAACAGCAGGCACATATTGGAAAGGCTGCAAGCAGCAGAGGGTTGATGCTTGTGAGATGTGTGGCTGGTTTCTTCTCTTTGTGTGGTTTGGGGTGATCCCTGCATGATTTGGGAGGCAGATGCTGCTTCAAACCTGCACGCAGTTTGATTGAAAAGTCCTTGATTTAGGATATCCTTGTGTATTTAAGCTTTATTTTGTGAGTGTTCTGATTGGAAGCTTCCTTGGGTTATGTCCTTGAGTTTTGCCTGTATGATCACGGGTGCCAAGCAGGAATCGGAGCATCCCCAAGGGATTTGTCCTCCTTTCTGGGAGGGGAAAACAGGAAGGGTGAAGCATCCTCATGGTTTGGGCAGTTTGCAGCAGGCAGAGAGCCCCTTCGGAGGCACCAGAAAGCAGAAGATGCAGGGAGACCTTCCTCTTCCTCACGTGTCTGCTGCGGGTGGCATCCCTCCTTCCTGCTTTCATTAGCCATAATGGCTTGTCTTGAGAGTCTGGCTGGTCGGGAATGCCTTGAGTGTTCATCTCAGTGCTTTGGCTTCCTTTAGTGGGTGTTTGTGCCGAAGAGGGAGTAATCCCAAGCTGAAAGAAGGGCGGGCTGTGTCTGTGCAGGAGGCAGGCGAGCAGGGGGTTGTAAAAGGAGGAAGTAGCTGGGTTTGTGTGCAGGGAGGCTCTGCGTGCTGTGATGCTGTGACACACCTACCCCACAGCCTGCGCTCCGCAGGGATGCATTTTTGCCTGCAGTTTCATCTGAGATCCTGGAGCTTGTGGGCTTGTGACTTACCCGTGGTCACGGGGCAGCGCCCGCGTTTGCTTGTGCCGCTGACCTTGCGTGAAGCCCACAAAGGAATCGGGTGTGTGTGGGCCAGCAAAGCAAAAGCCCTCGGGGTTTGTGCTGCCGTGGGGTGGCTGCAGAGCTGCTGATGCTGAAGGCACATGGGGAGCTGTCGGTGTTGTGGGGAGCCACCCCAGACGGGTGGAATCCTGCAATCAGCCAGGTCGGAAAGGACCTTTAGGAGCATCAAGCCCGGCCGTTGGGTGCGCGTCTCCAAACCAGGCTTTGGGATCAACCTTCCCCCCATCCCTTCTCTCCTCTCCCAGGACATGAATGGCCTGGAGGAAGGGGTGGAGTTCCTCCCTGCCATGAACTCCAAGAAGATGGAGAAGCGCGGCCCAAAGCGGAGGGTGGTCGCCGCCGCCATCATCGGCGCCTTGATCCCTGTGTCCCTTGTCACCGGCCTCCTGGTTTGGCACTTCCAATGTAAGTGTGTGTGTGTGGGTGCCCTCTCTAGCTCTGGGAAGTGGGGACACAGCATTCACACCCCCCTGTCCCGACTGCTGTCACTGGGGAGCTGCTGTGCCGCAGCCCCAGCTCTGATTCCCCTTCCTGACTGCGAGCTGTTGTCTTTCCAGACAGGAGTGCCCCCGTCAGGAAGGTTTTCAATGGCCACTTGAGGGTTCTGAACTGGGAATTCCTTGATGCTTATGAGAACTCCAGCTCTCCGGAGTTCATCATGCTGGCCAAGAAGGTGAAGAGCACGGTAAGAGGCAGGACTTGTCCCCCTTGCTCCATGCCCATGGGGATTTTGCATGGACTGGCTGGAGCTTCACGTGGGAGCTGAGGTGGGAGGGTGTCTGTATTGCCTTTCCCTTCAGCTTGGGGAGTTCCTTGTGCTTCCCCCTTGTTCTTCCTGTCTTTGGCCGTGCAGCCAGGGATGTGCCCTGATTTTCCATAGCGGGCTTGAAGCTCTGTCCATCCTTCCCTCGCTTTAGACATGCTTCCTTGAAACCTTCCAGGTGGAGGATATCTACAGGGACCATGGAGATATTGGCCCTTACCACAAAGAGACTGTGATAACAGCCTTCAGGTGAGTGTCTTGTGCTGTCTGGTTGTGGAGGGAGGGCAGTGCTGGGATGGAGGCACCACAGTGTTCACCCTGAGTGAACCAGGAAAGGGTGGGCACTGCAGAGCTGCCTCAGATGCCTATTGCTTTCTGCCTCTGTGTGCTGAGGATGAACCGCAGTGGGTGGTGCCTGGCAGCTTTGATGGGGACTTCCCTGGGTTTGCTTTAACTTCCCTCCCATTGAGACTCTCCCTTCCCTGGGGCCGGCCTCCAAAACTGCCTCTACAAGAAGGAGGCCCCTTCTCCTCCTGATAGCTGAGCCCTCCTCATCTCTCACCCCATCCTTGCAGCGAAGGCAGCATCATTGCCTACTACTGGTCCGAGTTCCTCGTCCCCAAGTACCGGGAGGAGAGCCTGGACCGGGCCATGGCCGACAAGCAGAGCCTGGTGCAGAAGCTGAACGCGCGCCTGCGGAACCCCATGCTGCAGGTGGAGTCGGTCGTGGCTTTCCGTGAGTGCTGGCTCTGCTGTCCCTGGGGCTGGGGTGGGGTGGGGGTGAGCTATGGGTCACAGCCCTCCCTTGGATGCCTTTGGGGACCACTCCAAGGGGGTGTGTAAGGACCTGGCTTTGATGGGCACGGACCCGCTCCCCTTCGCTCCTCTGGGATTCCCTGCATTCCCCTGGGCAGCTTGCAGGGACAGACCCACAAGCAAAGCCAAGCCTGGAGAAAAGAAGGCTCAGGGGGGACCTGATCGCTCCCTACAACTGCCTGACAGGAGGATGGAGCCAGGTCTGCTCCCAAGGAACAAGGGATGGGACAAGAGGAACCGGCCTCAAGCTGCACCAGGGCAGGTTTAGATGGAGCTGAGGAGCAATTCCTTCCCCAAAGGGTGCTCAGGCATTGGAAGTGCTAGAGTCACCGTCCCTGCAAGTGTTCCCAACCCATGTAGACGAGGCCCTCAGTGCCATGGGTTAGTGGTGGCCTTGGCAGTGCTGATGAATGATTGGAATCAGCGATCTTAAAGGCCTTTTCCAACCTGGTTGATTCTCTGATTCAATGTGGGTCCCAGGGACAACGTCAGCTTTGCACCCAGAGACTTCCAGAGCCCAAAGGCTGACAGCACCTCCCTTTTCTCTTGCAGCTGCAGACACCAGCATAGCTTACTCCTCTCGGGACAGTAAGTACAGCTCTTCTGTAGTCTCATAGTGGCCTCTTCGGGGTGGTGGTTTTCCTTTGTGGCCTGGGGAAGGGCCTGAAGAGAGGTGCTCTGTGTGCTGCTTGGAGCTGGTTTGGGATCAGACTGCAGCAGGGTGCCCAGAAAAGCTGTGGCTGCCCCATCCCTGGCAGTGTTCAAGGCCAGGTTGGACCCAGGGGCTTGGAGCCAGCTGCTTTAGTGGAAGGGGTCCCTGGATGTTGGAACTGGACGAGCTTTAAGGTCCCTTCCAAGGCAAACCAGGCTGGGATTCCCCAGTGACTCACTTTGCAGATGGAGGTGGATAAGCCAAGGTGCTCCCTGCCCAGGGACAGCCTGCAGGCAGAGGAGGAGCTGCGAGTGCTGCTCTTCAGGGCAAGGCAGGGCAGAGCCTCCTCATCTGCCTGGTCAACCCTTCCCTGCTCTCCCTGCAGGTATCTGCATGTTTGCCCTCCACGCCAAGGAAGGGGAGGTCACCACCTTCACCACCCCGGGCTTCCCCAACAGCCCCTACCCCAACAACGCCCTCTGCTACTGGACCCTGAGGGCAGACACCAACTCCATCATCAGCCTGACCTTCAAGACGCTGGAGCTGGAGCCGTGCACGGATGGCAGCGACTACATCAAGGTGTACAACTCCCTGAGCCCCGTGGAGCCCCACACGTTGGTCAGGTGAGGGTCCCATCAGGGTGATGCTGAGGAGTGCTGCGGGTACCTGAGCTCCCGGGGATGGGTGCTGCTCTGTGCAGCCTAATGGATTCTGTCCTGGACTTCTAGGCTCTGTGGGAATTACGCCCCTTCCTACAACCTGACCTTCCTGTCCTCCCAGAACGTCATGCTCGTCGCGTTGGTTACCAACAAGGAGGGCAGATTCCCTGGCTTCAAGGCCGAGTTCTTCCAGCTCCCAAAGATGAAAGGTGAGCAGAGCGGTGAGGGATGCGCTCAGTGTGCCAGGGATGCTCCCAGGGAGACCTGGGAGCGGGTCACATCTCGGCTCTTGGAGCTGCTGTAACTGTAACCCCTGGGGAGGCCAAGATAAGACTTAGGTGGGATTCGACGTGTGGATTGATGGCTGCAGGAAGCACCTCATTCTTCTCTCTCCTTCTGAGCACTTCTCTCTGCAGAGATAGATTGATTTAACCTTGTTAGAGACTGTTGCCTCCCTTCCTACCCCGGGTGATAGCCACAAGGCTTGGGAAAACCTATCTCTAACCTGGTTCCACCTTCCTGCCTATCTTCTAGCCTGCGGTGGGGTTCTGAGAGGAGAGAGCGGCACCTTCACCACCCCCTATTACCCAGCACACTACCCCCCAGCCATGGACTGTGTCTGGAGCATCGAGGTAAGATGGGATCCTCTCCTTGTCTTGCTGTCAAATGAGCTTGGCTATATGGGACGTGCTGCTTTGTCTGACCTGGGGGCTTAGGAGGTGGTGCTGAGGGTGGCTTTTGGGAAGGTGTTTCTTTTCCTACTGGGGAACGTCTCTGTGCTCCCTCCAAACACAGCCCTTCTCCCATGAAGCTTATCCTGGCTTCCTTTTGCAGGTTCCTTCCAGGAAGAACGTGAAGGTGCGATTCAACATGTTCTTTGTGCTGGAGCCCGGCATCCCGGTCAGCTCCTGCACCAAGGACTACGTGCAGATCAACAGCACCAGGTAGGCATCAGGCGCTCGGTTACGTGGCACCTTGTGCTCCCCTGAAACCTGTGGCTGGGATAGGGATGGGATGAGCGCTGGGGTCTGACCTGCTCTTGTAGCTCCATGCCCCGTGGGGAGAAGGGAGCCCCGTGCTCCATTGTGAGCGGCCCAAACCTTCTGTCAGTGGCAGCAAAACGCAGCTCCTGCATCCTTGAGGTGCAGCAGTTTGTGGTGGAATCCTCCCCACGCTCTCCCCTGCTGCCCTTTGGGGGGCACAGAAGCTTTGACCTACAGCAACTCACTCCCCTTTGCTGTCTCTCCCTGCAGGTACTGTGGGGAGCGATCCCAGTTCGTGGTGACCAGTACCAGTGACAGGATAGAAGTCCGGTTCCACTCAGACCAGTCCTACACAGACACCGGCTTCTCTGCTGAGTACCTGTCCTATGACTCCAGTGATCGTGAGTTGAAACCCTGGGGCTGGTGGAGGGGAATAGATCTGGAGGCTGTGCTGATGCTGCCCTTTACAAGGGGAAATGTGCTATTCCAGGGGGGAAACCCCCCCTTGTGTTCCTGCTGCGTTCTGGAAACGCTGTGTTTGAATGCTGCACTCTATAGGGAATGTGGTGTCCTGTGGGGAGGGCACAGGGGGGTGGCTGGAAGGCTCATGGGTTGGTTCATCCCTTTCCATCCCTCGCAGCCTGCCCTGGGCAGTTCACCTGCAACACGGGGCGCTGCATCGACCGGAGCATGCGCTGCGATGGATGGCTGGACTGCGTGGATGGCAGCGACGAGAGATCCTGCAGTGAGTCCGTGCTCGGGGTCTGTGCGGGGCGGCTGGGGCTTGGCACTGGGCTGCCTTATCCTGGGAGGCACTCGGTGTGGGGTCAGGTTGGGATCCTGTCCCAAAGGACAGGTTGGACACAGGGGCTTGGAGCAACCTGCTCCAGTGGAAAGTGTCCCTGCCTGTGGGACTGGATGAGCTTTAAGGTCCCTTTCAACACAAACCAGGCTGGGGTTCTCTGTGATCTGCCTCCCATTCCAGTCTTTCCCAGCTGGGAATGTGTTTTTCTATGACCAGTATGGGTTTGGCTGAGCTCTCCAGGCAGTTTTGTTCTCCAGGACAGTGTAAATCCCATGTTATAGCCTAAGCTATCGCTATCCCTTTGCAGCCTGCACGGAGCAGCAGTTCAGGTGCCAGAACGGTTGGTGCAAGCCCAAGTTCTGGGTCTGTGACAACGTGAACGACTGCGGCGACAACAGCGACGAGCTGCAGTGCAGTGAGTAACTCACCCCGTGGGCAGGAGGGCAGGAGGAGGGGGGCAACGAAGGAGGCTCACACAGCGGGGTGCCACGGGGCTGGGTGCTGGCTCTCAGGAGCTGCTCCCCTCTCCAGACTGCGCTGCCGACAGCTTCAAGTGCACCAACGGGAAGTGCATCCCCAGTACACGCCAGTGCGATGGCAAAGACGACTGCGGGGACGGGAGCGACGAGGGCAGCTGTGGGAAAGGTGAGGAGGGCCCCTGGACACAGAGCCCTGGAGTCAGGGCATCCACAGGGTCGGAAAACACCTTTAGGATCATCCAGTCCAACCATTCCCTAGCAGTGCCAAGGCCACCACTAACCCATGGCACTGAGGGTGTGTGAACACTTGCAGGGACGGTGACTGCAGCACTTCCAATGCCTGAGCACCCTTTGGGGGAGGAATTGTTCCTCAGCTCCATCTAAACCTGCCCTGGTGCAGCTTGAGGCCGTTTCCTCTTGTCCCATCCCTTGCTCCTTGGGAGCAGACCTGGCTCCATCCTCCTGTCAGGCAGCTGTAGGGAGCGATCAGGTCCCCCCTGAGCCTTCTCCAAACTGACCCCCCCAGGTCCCTCAGCCGTTGCCCATCACACTTGGGCTCCATTGCCCTTCTCTGGCCCCGCTCCAGCACCTCAATGTCTCTCTTGTGATGAGGCACCCAGAGCTGAACACAGGATTCAAGGGGATGGGCAGAAGAGGTGAAAGGGGTCCCCAGAACCGGAACTAACCCCTTCATCCTGCCCATAGCGGGCCAGGTGACGGTCACCTGCAAGGAATACACCTACAAGTGCCGCAACGGGCGCTGCATCAGCAAACAGAACCCAGAGTGCGACGGGGAGCAGGACTGCGAGGACAATTCCGATGAGGACAACTGCAGTGAGTAGCCTGGGGAAGGGGGGACACGGGTTTAGGGGCACATGAGTCTGAAGAGAAACAGGGAGCGTTCAAGGCCGCGTTGGCCGGGGCTTGGAGCAGCCTGCTCTAGTGGAAGAGCCCATCCATGTGGGTAATGGGGATACCCGGGGAGTAACGGAGCGCCCCTTGTGCTGCCCCACAGACTGCGGGCTCCGCTCCTACACGAGGAAGTCTCGGATCGTCGGCGGGCAGAACTCGGACGTGGGGGAGTGGCCGTGGCAGGTCAGCCTCCACGTCCGGGGCCAGGGCCACATCTGCGGCGCCTCGCTCGTCTCCGAGAGCTGGCTGGTGTCAGCGGCGCATTGCTTCCTGCAGCTGCAGGGCATCAGGTACGTGGGACCCTGCCGCGGTTGTGATTGCGTCCGGGAAGAGCCAATCCCTGCGGCGTTCCTTGAGGAAGCTGTTTGAGATGGAGACAGGCTGAGAACATTGAGGCTGTTCTGCTCTGAGGTCTGCATGCAGCTTCCAGTGTCTGAAATGGGCTGCAAGGGTGCTGGAGAGGGGCTCTTCATCAGGGACTGTAGTGATAGGACAAGGGGTGATGGGTTTGAGCTGAAACAGGGGAAGTTCAGTTTGGAGATAAAGCAGAAGTTCTTCCCTGTGAGGGTGCTGAGGCGCTGGCACAGGGTGCCCAGAGAAGCTGTGGCTGCCCCATCCCTGGCAGTGTTCAAGGCCAGGTTGGACACAGGGGCTTGGAGCAAGCTGCTCTAGTGGAAGGTGTCCCTGCCTGTGGCAGGGTTGGAGCTGGATGAGCTCTAAGGTCCTTTCCAACCCAAACCATTCCATGTGCCCTGTGGCTCGCAGGTACTCAGACCCCAGCCTGTGGACCGCCTACCTGGGCCTGACGGACCAAGGCGACCTCAGCAACGCCAACGTGCAGATGCGGAAGATCAAGCGCATCATCTCCCACCCCTACTTCAACGACTACACCTACGACTACGACATCGCCGTGATAGAGCTGCAGACCCCTGTCACCTTCTCCTCTTTCGTCCAGCCCATCTGCCTGCCTGACGCCACACACAGCTTCCCAGTGGGCAAGGACCTGTGGGTGACCGGGTGGGGAGCGACGACGGAAGGAGGTGAGTGATGGAGTCGATGCGTTTCCGTACATAGGTTTGGTGTGGAGTCTGAATTGTATCCTTAAATCCCTCTTAATGGTGGGTAGGGCACAGCCTCTTAGGAGACTTTCCTCTCTGTGTCTGAATCCTGGTTGGTTTGGGGTCTGTTTTCTTGTGGATCAGTTGAACTGGTCATGGCAGCAAATCCAGGCGGTTTAGCACAGGAGGTGATAAACTGATTCTTAGGCTTGCAGCAGTCATTAGTCCATTACAACGCAATGAAGGTGACTGAAGGAGTTGTTACTGAGGTGCTCGAATGTCTTTACATAGCACTTAAAGTCAGGAGGAGCTCAGATACTGATACAGGAACAAAGTGAAAGCGCAGAAGTCTCTCAGGCACCAAAATGCTTTTGGTCCCAAACTTGGAAATGTTAAGCTCTAAACCAGGAAGAGCCAAAAACCAGATCCATTACCCTCCTCTGTCAGTCTTATGTGGATAATAAGTACTGTGGAATGGTATTGATAGAGCACAATGTAGATTAAATGGTGCCTTAGCATCACCATAGACAGTGGTGTTCTTTATGCAGACGTGGTTTAGTGGGGTAAAGGTTGGACTCGATGATCTTCAAGGTCTCTTCCACCCTGGTTGATTCTGTGATGCTACGTGCCACTTTGGGGACAAGGGGGATCACCTGGACACAGTGTAAATGCAGTGGCTCACCTCGAGCCTGGAGTCAAAGGAGATTCCCTTAGGAGCACACAACGTTCCTGGTGGGAAAATGGAGCAAGCGCAGTGTTGCGATGGGGTTGGGTTGCTGGGAGACGGGATGGGAGGGAAACGCTGCTTGAAACGGGCACACGCTTTTCCTCACAGTTCTCCCTCCTCCTCCTGCTCCCGGCAGGCAGCGGTGCCTCCGTCCTGCAGAAGGCTGAGATCCGGCTCATCAACCAGACCGTGTGCAACCAGCTGCTGACCGACCAGCTCACGCCGCGCATGATGTGCGTGGGCATCCTCACCGGCGGCGTGGACGCCTGCCAGGTAGGAACCTGGCTGCTTGCTCAGCCCTCGCTGGCATGGCACTTCCATAGCAAATAGACACCTCCATGTGGATCCCCAGTGGGATGCAGGAATTAGGTCTCAAAACCACCGCAGCAGTTCGTTGCTGTTACCAGAGCCTTGGTTAGGTAGGCTGCTTGTTTAGTTCTGTAGTCTGCTCTTATTACTTTGAATAGGCACCAAGTCTACCTGGATACCCAATGAGATGCAGGACTTAGGTCTCAAAACCACCACATCATTGCTGTTGAGGCTTGGTTAGTTTAGTCTGCTCTTATTACTGTGAATAGGCAAGAAGTCTACCTGGATACCCAATGAGATGCAGGACTTGGGTCTCAAAACCACCACATCATTGCTATCGAGGCTTGGTTAATTCTGTAGTCTGCTCTTATTACTGTGAATAGGCAACAAGTCTACCTGAATACCCAATGGGATGCAGGACTTGGGTCTCAAAACCACCACATCAGTTTGTTATCAGAGCCTTGGTTAGGTAGGCTGTTTAGTTCTGTAGTCTGCTCTCATTTGAACAGGCAACAAGTCTACCTGAATACTGAATGGGATGCAGCTCTCAACCATCACATCAGTTCATTGCTGTTACCAGATGTTTGTTTAGTTCTGTAGTCTGCTCTCATTACTGTGAATAGGCAACAAGTCCATCTGGATACCCATTGGAATGCAGGACTTACGTAGTCTCAAAACCACCACACCAGTTTATTGCTCTTAGCAAAGCAGGCTGCTTTAGTTCTGTACTCTGCTCTTAGTACATTGAATAGGCAACAACTCCACATGGGTACTCAAGGGAATGCAGGACTTAGGCTCTGGTAGCAGCAATGAACTGGAGCGGTGGTTTTGAGACTTACTTAGGTGGAGGGTAGGCTGCTTGTTTAGCGCTTTAGTTTGCTCTTAGGACCCTGGTTAATGGTAGTACTTTGTTATGAATAGCCCCTGTTGCCACACTTCAGTCTGTGTTCCAGGTTTATGTACCGTATTTCATGGGAAGGGCCAGGAACAGCTCACTTGGGATTGATTACGGCTGGAGCGATGGGTTATGGCTCAGGTGTGGTGCTTCATTGTGCCGCCTCACACATGAGGACACCGTTGGTGCTTACACTGCCCCTTGTTTCCCCATGCAGGGGGACTCAGGAGGGCCCCTGGTCAGCGTGGAGCCCAGCAGCCGCATGTTCCTGGCTGGAGTGGTGAGCTGGGGCGACGGCTGCGCGCAGAGGAACAAGCCCGGAGTGTACAGCCGCCTCACGAGCCTGCGGGACTGGATCCAGCAGCAGACCGGCCTCTGAGGCCACACACACACACAGGGCCCCGTGCGGGCACCTCTTGGGCTGGGTCATGCACATCCAGCCTCGACTGTGAACTTGAACCCTCCCTCTACCTCGCACCGAGTCATCATCCCACCTCCCAGCTTAGAAACGCATGGTTGGACTAGGACAGATTGGAGGTTGTGGATGAGTGAGTGCAGCTCCGATGGACAATGGGGTAGGAGCAGTAGATCTACAAAAATCAATGACAACTAAATTAAAAAGGAAAGAAAAAGAAACCACTTTGTGTGTAGGGGAAAACATCACTGGGACAGGTTCAGAATCAGCTTCTCAGGATAAGCCCTGCGTTGCTTTCCAAACAGCCGTCCGCAGCCCTTGCTCTTGGGGTTGGAGCACGGTGTCACTCCCCCACCAGCAGCAGCGTTGGCATCGCGGTGTGTGCTGCACTGAATGTGCAGCCCTGCAGCACCACCCCAGGGCAGCAGCCTCCGAGACCCACCTGACTTTTGTAAAGCTAAATGGGACTCGTGAATGTGCTCATTTCAGCCCTTTTCGCCCTGTGGAGCCCGGTCCTTGCCATAGAGCACACTCCAGGTGAGTTCAGTTCGTGCCTTCCGTGCCTGTAAATACCTTGTTTTGTAAAACTCTGTGAATGGGATTGCTCAAATAAACTGGGATATTTTCTAATGCTCTGGCTCTGTGATGCTGCTCCAATACCACACTGCAATCCTGTACCCCTCCCCTGGGCACCTGTGAGAGCACAGCCGCATTCCAGGCAGAAATCCTTGCAGGAGGAGAGTCTTTGCCTCTGATTGTGGAACCTGTGCTTGCACAATGCTGCTGCAGTGTAAGAAACATGGACAAAGTGCTCACTCACCAGCTTTGCTATGGCATCCATCCCCCTCGGTCCACACTGCGAGCCAGGGCCTTGCAGGGTCTCTGCCTTGCACAGAGGATGGGCAGCAGGTTGCAGCAGAGAGCTAGAAGGCAGATGGATCATGACTGGTTTGATCCCAGTATCCCCATGAGTTCCCTCAGACCCAGACCCATAAAACCTCCAGACCCATACAGGATACTGGGGATGTGCCTGACTTGAGGAGCACCCTCAGCCACAGCACAGTGGATGCTGAAGTTGCACACCCCGTCCCGAGCTCAGCCCAAACAGGCTTGGACACACCTTTAGGAGCGGTGCAGTCCATCCATGTGTAACCCCTGCTCTGTGCAAGACTGCTGTTGGAATAGCTCACCTCCTGGGATGTAGGGTCCTACCTCATCTGCTGCAGGAGGTCGTACAATTAAAGATCTCACTGTATCTAAAGCTCAAGCACAGATCTCACTGTATCTAAAGCTCAAGCACAGATCTCACTGTATCTAAAGCTAAAGCACAGATCTCACTGTATCTAAAAGTCAAGCACAGATCTCACTGTATCTAAAGCTAAAGCACAGATCTCACTGTATCTAAAGCTCAAGCAGAGATCTCACTGTATCTAAAGCTCAAGCACAGCTCTCACTGTATCTAAAGCTCAAGCAGAGATCTCACTGTATCTAAAGCTCAAGCACAGATCTCACTGTATCTAAAGCTCAAGCACAGATCTCACTGTATCTAAAGCTAAAGCACAGATCTCACTGTATCTAAAGCTCAAGCACAGATCTCACTGTATCTAAAGCTCAAGCACAGATCTCACTGTATCTAAAGCTAAAGCACAGATCTCACTGTATCTAAAGCTAAAGCACAGATCTCACTGTATCTAAAGCTCAAGCAGAGATCTCACTGTATCTAAAGCTCAAGCACAGATCTCACTGTATCTAAAGCTCAAGCACAGATCTCACTGTATCTAAAGCTAAAGCACAGATCTCACTCTAAAGCTAAAGCAGAGATCTCACTGTATCTAAAGCTCAAGCAGAGATCTCACTGTATCTAAAGCTCAAGCACAGATCTCACTGTATCTAAAGCTAAAGCACAGATCTCACTGTATCTAAAGCTCAAGCACAGATCTCACTGTATCTAAAGCTCAAGCACAGATCTCACTGTATCTAAAGCTCAAGCAGAGATCTCACTGTATCTAAAGCTAAAGCACAGATCTCACTGTATCTAAAGCTCAAGCAGAGATCTCACTGTATCTAAAGCTCAAGCAGAGATCTCACTGCATCTGAACCTCAAGCACAGATCTCACTGCATCTGAAGCTCAAGCAGAGATCTCACTGTATCTAAAGCTAAAGCACAGATCTCACTGTATCTAAAGCTCAAGCAGAGATCTCACTGTATCTAAAGCTCAAGCAGAGATCTCACTGTATCTAAAGCTCAAGCAGAGATCTCACTGTATCTAAAGCTCAAGCAGAGATCTCACTGTATCTAAAGCTCAAGCAGAGATCTCACTGTATCTAAAGCTCAAGCACAGATCTCACTGTATCTAAAGCTAAAGCACAGATCTCACTGTATCTAAAGCTCAAGCAGAGATCTCACTGTATCTAAAGCTCAAGCAGAGATCTCACTGTATCTAAAGCTCAAGCACAGATCTCACTGTATCTAAAGCTCAAGCAGAGATCTCACTGTATCTAAAGCTCAAGCACAGATCTCACTGTATCTAAAGCTCAAGCACAGATCTCACTGTATCTAAAGCTCAAGCAGAGATCTCACTGTATCTAAAGCTCAAGCACAGATCTCACTGTATCTAAAGCTCAAGCACAGATCTCACTGTATCTAAAGCTAAAGCACAGATCTCACTGTATCTAAAGCTCAAGCACAGATCTCACTGTATCTAAAGCTAAAGCACAGATCTCACTGTATCTAAAGCTAAAGCAGAGACCTCACTGTATCTAAAGCTCAAGCAGAGATCTCACTGTATCTAAAGCTAAAGCACAGATCTCACTGTATCTAAAGCTCAAGCAGAGATCTCACTGTATCTAAAGCTCAAGCAGAGATCTCACTGTATCTAAAGCTCAAGCACAGATCTCACTGTATCTAAAGCTCAAGCACAGATCTCACTGTATCTAAAGCTAAAGCACAGATCTCACTGTATCTAAAGCTCAAGCAGAGATCTCACTGTATCTAAAGCTCAAGCACAGATCTCACTGTATCTAAAGCTCAAGCACAGATCTCACTGTATCTAAAGCTCAAGCACAGATCTCACTGTATCTAAAGCTCAAGCACAGATCTCACTGTATCTAAAGCTCAAGCACAGATCTCACTGTATCTAAAGCTCAAGCAGAGATCTCACTGTATCTAAAGCTAAAGCACAGATCTCACTCTAAAGCTAAAGCACAGATCTCACTGTATCTAAAGCTCAAGCACAGATCTCACTGTATCTAAAGCTCAAGCAGAGATCTCACTGTATCTAAAGCTCAAGCACAGATCTCACTGTATCTAAAGCTCAAGCACAGATCTCACTGTATCTAAAGCTAAAGCACAGATCTCACTGTATCTAAAGCTCAAGCAGAGATCTCACTGTATCTAAAGCTCAAGCACAGATCTCACTGTATCTAAAGCTCAAGCAGAGATCTCACTGTATCTAAAGCTAAAGCACAGATCTATCTCACTGTATCTAAAGCTCAAGCAGAGATCTCACTGTATCTAAAGCTCAAGCAGAGATCTCACTGTATCTAAAGCTAAAGCACAGATCTCACTGTATCTAAAGCTCAAGCACAGATCTCACTGTATCTAAAGCTCAAGCACAGATCTCACTGTATCTAAAGCTCAAGCAGAGATCTCACTGTATCTAAAGCTCAAGCACAGATCTCACTGTATCTAAAGCTCAAGCAGAGATCTCACTGTATCTAAAGCTCAAGCAGAGATCTCACTGTATCTAAAGCTCAAGCACAGATCTCACTGTATCTAAAGCTCAAGCACAGATCTCACTGTATCTAAAGCTCAAGCAGAGATCTCACTGTATCTAAAGCTCAAGCACAGATCTCACTGTATCTAAAGCTCAAGCACAGATCTCACTGTATCTAAAGCTCAAGCACAGATCTCACTGTATCTAAAGCTCAAGCAGAGATCTCACTGTATCTAAAGCTCAAGCAGAGATCTCACTGTATCTAAAGCTAAAGCACAGATCTCACTCTAAAGCTAAAGCACAGATCTCACTGTATCTAAAGCTCAAGCACAGATCTCACTGTATCTAAAGCTCAAGCACAGATCTCACTGTATCTAAAGCTCAAGCACAGATCTCACTGTATCTAAAGCTAAAGCACAGATCTCACTGTATCTAAAGCTCAAGCACAGATCTCACTGTATCTAAAGCTAAAGCACAGATCTCACTGTATCTAAAGCTCAAGCACAGATCTCACTGTATCTAAAGCTCAAGCAGAGATCTCACTGTATCTAAAGCTCAAGCACAGATCTCACTGTATCTAAAGCTCAAGCAGAGATCTCACTGTATCTAAAGCTCAAGCAGAGATCTCACTGTATCTAAAGCTAAAGCACAGATCTCACTGTATCTAAAGCTCAAGCACAGATCTCACTGTATCTAAAGCTCAAGCACAGATCTCACTGTATCTAAAGCTCAAGCACAGATCTCACTGTATCTAAAGCTCAAGCACAGATCTCACTGTATCTAAAGCTAAAGCACAGATCTCACTGTATCTAAAGCTCAAGCAGAGATCTCACTGTATCTAAAGCTCAAGCAGAGATCTCACTGTATCTAAAGCTCAAGCAGAGATCTCACTGTATCTAAAGCTCAAGCAGAGATCTCACTGTATCTAAAGCTCAAGCACAGATCTCACTGTATCTAAAGCTAAAGCACAGATCTCACTGTATCTAAAGCTCAAGCACAGATCTCACTGTATCTAAAGCTCAAGCACAGATCTCACTGTATCTAAAGCTCAAGCAGAGATCTCACTGTATCTAAAGCTAAAGCACAGATCTCACTCTAAAGCTAAAGCACAGATCTCACTGTATCTAAAGCTCAAGCACAGATCTCACTGTATCTAAAGCTCAAGCAGAGATCTCACTGTATCTAAAGCTCAAGCACAGATCTCACTGTATCTAAAGCTCAAGCACAGATCTCACTGTATCTAAAGCTCAAGCACAGATCTCACTGTATCTAAAGCTCAAGCACAGATCTCACTGTATCTAAAGCTCAAGCAGAGATCTCACTGTATCTAAAGCTAAAGCACAGATCTCACTGTATCTAAAGCTCAAGCAGAGATCTCACTGTATCTAAAGCTCAAGCACAGATCTCACTGTATCTAAAAGTCAAGCACAGATCTCACTGTATCTAAAGCTAAAGCACAGATCTCACTGTATCTAAAAGTCAAGCACAGATCTCACTGTATCTAAAGCTCAAGCAGAGATCTCACTGTATCTAAAGCTCAAGCACAGATCTCACTGTATCTAAAGCTCAAGCAGAGATCTCACTGTATCTAAAGCTCAAGCACAGAT